AGCAAGGACGATAGTGCAAACAGTACTAATCCTTTGGCTTGGGTGACTTCAACAAATATGAATGAGAATCAAATGGAATGTTGCTCTTCTTCACTCTCCCTGCGGGTGTCTGTCTTCATAGTGCTAAAAAGTAAGGGACAACAGATTCATTTTTAGTTGGATATTGTATCAGGAATCCACAGAAGTCTATTTTGGTGGAAGGTTGTTCTGCGCAGTTCTTGCTAACTTGTTCTAGGTTTAATATTTGACCAGGCAGAGTCAGCATTCAAGAAGAAATTCATGAATGCGCTATGAGTGCCACTGCCATGCATGTTTTTGTCTCATGAAATTTTAATTTGCACAAATTGGTAAGCTCTAATCCCTTTCATTACACCGAATATTTTCTTGTCATCACTATACTGGAGTTGTATTCTTATGAGTTTGCATCACAGGGAAACTTCGTATGGTGCAGCATAATCGGAAAACACTTTACCGGGCATTTATCATGGAGAAAGCTCTTCCTAATGAAGTCCTAAGACCTGTCTCTTACTGGGCGATATTTGGTGTATTGATCTTTCTTTGTTGAACTTTGTTTGTTCTTGGATTTTTGGGGCATTTTCTACACCCTTGTCTTCAATGAATTGTTTGACTTGACTTTTATCACAATTATTAGAAATAAATATTATTTTAAATGAATTGTTAACTTCTGCAGATTTTCTCTCATGCGGCTTATCAAAATCCAAAAAACCCGAGGAGCCTAATTTGAAAAGCCAAAATGTTTAAAATCAACCCATGAACTGCCACAAGTGAACTCAGCTAAAATTTAGAGCAACCTATGCAAAACACAAGGGTAAACATATGACGTATCTCACATTTTAATGGAAGTGCAATTTCGGGGTGTCTATTGAGAAACAACGGAAGAGAAATACATGTACAGAGAGACATCGGATATTAATCATTGTGCTATGAGCATCATAATGGACAAACATTGGATATTAATCATACTAACAACAATAGCCCATTGTGAAAATGGGAGAATGCATGAGGTATACTATGTGATACTACTTCTCACTATACAAGACAATACATAAACCACAACTCACATTCCAGCAGCAGATTTAGAGACCTGCTTCAGAGCATTGGCAATCTCATCAGCTTTTGCTTGCCCACTTACATAGGTGACCAAGGGGTTCTCTGGTGGAACAATGCCATCTCTTAGATAGCTTCTTGATGTTCTTAGCAGCTCTTTTGAACCCTTTGCCACCACCCCTTTCATGATTATGGTCTTAGCAGCTGTTTCCTTTTTGATTCCAAAGAATTATTTTATTTTATTTTTGGGTCAAAGGTTCCAAAGAATAATGTTTTTCACTTTGGTATCAATCAATTGGCAGTGAGTTGAATCAATTTTGTTAAGCAGGTTCAAACTTTGGTAATTGATTCTTAGCTGACTAATGATGCTTCCTTTTCTGATGTTACACCAATGTTAC